CCCGAGTTAATTATCTGAAATTTTTGAATACTAAACATTCTTCACTGCTTTTAGCTTTAGTTCAGTGCAGCGATGACATGTGGTGATACCAGTTAGGTGTATTTTAAATAAAACTTTAAAACACAGTGAAATGAATAAAGATGCATACCAATTTATAGGGTGACATTTTTTTCTTCTTCCAGAAGGGGTCAGCAGAACTCTATTTCTGATTTGAGGCGACTTTGCACATTTCCTTCAGAGATAAATTCAAATTAAATTTTGCTTTTGTTTCTGGGACAGTATGTGAAATTTAGAGACTGTAGTAAGAGTTTTTTCAAATACAGCTGTATTGAGCATACATTTAGTGGCTGAATTATATTTTAAAATGGAACACTTAAATGGACTTAAGTTCTTTACAAAACAATTTTAAGTCTTCAGAGCATCATTATTGCAGACATGCTAATTTCTTCCATTTCAGTTGTAACTTTTCTAGACTTGACCATAAAGCTGATTGCTAGTGTCAAAATAGAAAATTGTCTCAATTTTTTTAAGTTCCTTCAATTTTGCATGTATCTGCATCATGGCTGTGTTTCTTAGTCTAGCCTGTTTCAGATATCGTAAAATTTTCATTGCACTGGTTGTGATAAAAGTAAATACTTCTTATACCTTTTATAAAACCAACTTTAAATTTGAAAATTTAAAAATATATGTGGGAAACAGCAGTGGCATCTATAGATGCCAGATTTCTCCCGTCTCCTAAAAGAAAGCTAACATACTACATTAATATTAAAAATAAGCTTGTTCCATATATGGAGAGAGGATATTTCATCCCAGTCAAAATAAAGTGAATAGCTCAGATTCTGAGTATTGATTATTTAGCAGGGACAATATAAGCCAATGATGGGGGGAAAAGTCTGCTGAATTCACATTGGATACAAGTATATCTCTCTGTGTGAAAGCATCCTAGCTATAACTTTCATAGCTTTCATGTGTTATATATGATTAGCTGCTCTTATGGAAAAAGAAAATTTTTTTCTACTGCTAACAGTTGGTTTGTCCTGTTAAACTTCTGCATGTGTGTGAAAGCTGGTCAAACCCTTAGTTTAGTACTGATTGCTTGAAGATGTTACTAGGACTCCAGAATAAGAGAGTGGTACTTGCAGTGGTATAATTCAGGCAGTACTTGAATTGCCCTAAATTTTGTACACTGAATATTTTACACATTGATGTTTCACTTATTTGAGTTTTTATAAATATCTCTTTTCAGTGTGGTGATGGCAAGACAGCAGAGTCCTAAACATTGCACTGAATATTCCTGAAAACGAGAAATCGTTAATGTCAGAGTTTGTTTGTACTTTTTTTGTTGCTGTTGTTGCAGAATGAAGGTGATGGTATTGCATGTTTTTTATAGAGATATGCGAAGTTCTGGAATCAGCATGTATTATACTATAAATCCCCATAGAAGCAGTGCTGTTGATGATGTGATAGAGGGACAGCAACCCCACGTTTGGTACTTAGATGTAATATACGTCTGTGACGTGTATTTTGTATGGTTTCCTAGTTCATACTCTTCAAGTTTTAGATAGATAGGATGAAGTTTGTGGAGAATAACTTCTTCCTTCTAACTCAGGTGTAGCTAGTCTACTGTGTCCAAATGCTAACATTTTAAAATGTCACCTGTAAACTTTTCAGTATGTGATATTCATAATGCATTACATGAGAGAACATGTGTGTCTCATTAAAACTTGAAGATTAATTTAAGAATGAACTGGACTGTACAAGAAAATGTATGGTTTTGAATGGAAAAGTGGACTAGAACTGAGTTTTATTTGCACTGTAAAGTGAACTTTGTTTTATCTTTATTTGGGTCTAGGCTCAGGTACTCCAGTCTACAGCAAAGAAACTGAGTCTGCAGAAGAAGCTACTGGGTTCTGGGCAAAGGCTAAAACTTAAAGTTGGAGGGCTTGGAGGACTGCTTTCTACTTTTTTTTTTTCTTTTTTTTAAATAGATCAGGGTTTTAATTCCTGGTCCAAATTTTAGCAAAAGGATGTATCCTGTTGTGGGTATAGCTGGAGAAGTATGAGGAAAAGTCTTAGCAACGTTTCACATGCCTAAATTAACAAACCTTAAAGTATTCTTTGACACGAGTCAAACTTTGTCTAATTGGCAAAGATGACAAAAAAAAAAAAAGGGGCTTTTACTGTCGTTTAGCTACAGTATCCCACTATGAAGTCCTGTTGCAGTTCTTACAGGGAGCATTCCTTTAATTTATCTTGAATTTCCTGATATCAAAAGCAGATTTCCTCACTCTGCCTTCCAATCCCATTTCCATATGAATTGTGAATGTATGTTAAATGAGGGGTCCTAAAACTGGAGCTAACTAATAGGAACCTCCTCCTTTTGTGAGATCTATGCATTTATTGCTTCTCTAAGCTTAGGCCATTGGATGGCCTTTTCCATATCTCATGACAGATTGGTTTAAAGCATTTTAGTGTGAGACTTCAGTATTTTTTAGAAACTCTGTGTCTCAGACACTGTGATGGGTTGACCTTGGCTGGATGGCAGGTGCTGATGAAAGCCACACTGTCACTCACCTCAGCTGGACAGGGGAGAGAAAATACAATGAAAAGATTGTGGGTTGAGATAAGGACAGGAAGAGATGACTTGCCAATTTCTGTTGTGAGCAAAACAGACTTGACTTG